TAAAGAAAGAAGACGATTAATTGAAATCCACCTCGTTAAAACCCAGATATCAAAGAGGAATCTTGTCTTTCAATGTATTTGGTAAGATAACAAATGCTTAAGATTTATTTACGTGTAAATAGTTTCTAAACCTGAATGTCTAAAGATGTAACTTAATTAAAAATTATTCTAAATATTTAAAGTACAGGTTGTCCATAAATTATCTGTAGACCTTCTACAGTTTATTGTATCCAATAGAGTTCAGATGCATCAATACATTTCTTCGCATGTTAATGAAATAATATTACATTTTTCATATATATATATATATATATATATATATATATATATATATATATATATAGTTGTTCTTTTTTAATTCAATTTCCTTTGTCGTTTCATGAACAACTACTTTGTGACGCGCTCTTCAGGATGTGCTCTCATGGCTCTCCATAATTACCTGCCCTTCATAGCTTTCCACAATTATCTGCTCTTTGTTGTTTTGTTTCTGCTATCTATTTACTCCTCACTATATAGGTTATGCTTTTCCCACTTGCCTTCAATCTGTCCCGTGTGTATCAGATTTTCCAAACTCTCTTTCTTCATTATGTGCCTTAGAAAAATCAACTGTCTTTTTCTGATGTTAATATAAGTTTCCTTCGTCGTTGATCACATTTTTGGTCCATGGTATTCTAAGCATCCTTCTGTAGAACCATATTTCCACTGTTTCAATTCTCTTTTTCATTTGTGAGTCGATTGTCTGACCATTCACTGTCATATAGCAGGACTTATATCACATAACAGTTCAGTATTCTTTTCATTGTATCTCCTGAAATGTTTCTGAATAGACTGCTTAGCTTTTAGAATTCATATTTGGCTATCCCAATGCGCCTTCAGATTTCAGTGTCGCTCTTTCCGTCCTCTGTTGGAACACTTCCTTGACATTTAAATTTTGACTTGTTTGATTTTAGCACATCCCATTTGTAATCTGCATGTTGGACTGTTCCTTTTGCTAATAAGCATGTAGTCTATCTTCTTGCTGTTGATGTTTAGTCCTTTCTTCTCGCTTTCCTTCACTAGATTCTGTAGGAGTTCTTATAGTTTTCTGTCTGCTATCAACATTATGCTATCTGCATACCTTATGTTCTTAAAATTGTGGCCGCTAATAATCAATCCAGGTAAGGTTTCTAATTCTCTCAGAATCACCTTACGATATAGATTGAATAAGTCCGGTGAGAAGATACATCCTTGTTTTACACCCATTTCTATTTTTGTGTTTTTATTGAATTCATTTTCTGTCTGTATGTACGCTTCCAGTATAGATTCCAGGATTTGTCTAATATCCTTCCCAAACACGTCCTTGATCCCTGATTTTTCGTGAAAATGGCAATGCCACAAGAAAAAAAGCTTCATGTCTATCCTGATTCTTCAAATCGGAGAGACAGATCTATTGGAATTACATTACAAATTATAAGAATACACCAAGTCGTCTTGACACCCATGTTTAGCAAAAGACAGAAACAGGAGGTATTTTCTCGAAAACGGAAAGTAATCATCCTCTAGATATGCTGCATGCAAATAATTGAGACAATGTTGGAATGTGTGCATATGTTTAAATAAAATTTTATTTGTTTTTCAATAAATCCGACAAAGTTATCATGATCTTTTCATTTTTTCAAGAATTTTAAAAATTATACACCTAATATTAATAATTAAAAAAAAAATTGTACTACCTGAATAATACTTATTCCAATAATCTTGATATGGTGGGATATCTGCATCAGTAAATATGACATATTTTCATATGTTTTACGCAAGTATTGTCTCGTCTGGAGAGGGTAGCAAATTTAAATTCATTTCAGTTCAAACAAACCTTGTAACGTTTCATCCTCAGCAAGCAGAAATTTACTTCAATCCATAAGAGCGGTGGTACTCTCAATGGAGTTATTTGCCTCGGACGCCTACTAGAATTAAAGCTCACTCCAGACCTCAAGTGTATATCGTATATTCGTGCCATTTCTAAAGATGATGTAAGAATGGTCTTTGTACCACTTCATAAGGTACCTGATATCTGGGTTCATGCTGTCAATAATCATTGCCCAGCATTGATAGGAGTTCAAAAGCGATTACGCTGCCTTGCAGGCGATGAATTCATTTTCACTTTGCAATCACCTTCCCAAAAACGAAACTTTGCTAAACTCTCATTAATTTATCGCTATTGCCATAGCAAATGTTCAGACGAGCTACATTCCTTAGTTTTGCTAGTTCAGATCTTCCCATCCTTACAATCATAAGCAATTCTAGGGTCGACCGTCATCTATCCAACATAACATCGTTATATGCACCTTTACATTCTAAAACAATCTCATTAATTAAAACTCTGATTTGAGTGGCTCTCTCATTTTGTATTCGACAAAAATATTATGAATTCTATGCTTTACAGTAGTTAAACTTCCAACATATACCATTTGTGAATATGGCCAAACTTATGTCGTTTGAACGTTTCCGAGTGGATGATTGTGTCAGCGAAGCCACATCAGTTTTCCACTCTGTTTTATATACTAGAATGCATCACAATGGTACATAGATGACACCTTCAATCTTTGGCTACATCAAGAAGAGGTCCAGATATTACTGGACCATGTGAACTCAATAAGATCATCGATACAGTTAACAATGGGGACAGGAAAGGACAACGAGCTCGCGTTCCTGGATGTGCTAATATCTCAAACAGAGCCTGGGTTCAAGACATCTGAATACCGCAAGCTAACATTCATCGGACAATACTAAGAAACTTACATCAAATATACAGTGTAAAGAAAGGGACCGTTCGCTGCTTACAAGCAAAAGTCATAAGTAACTATCCTAGTTACATGGCAGCAGCTTCAACAAATTGGGATAGAAGGGAACAAGAGAGTAACAACACTCAGAAAATAACTTGGGTCTGCCCTACCTTATGTGAATGGATTATCGGAAAAATACATCTCTGGTCCATATAACATCAGGACGATCTTTAAAAGTGGTTCGACACTTCGCAGACATCTCTTCCAAGTGAGACCCCCCCACCCCATGGAAGAGAACATGACTCAGGAATGTGTGTACGCCATCTCGTTCAGCTGTGGTAAGAAATATAAAAGAGAAACAAGTCTCCCCCTTAGGGTAAAACTGAAAGAACATCGTAAATCCGTAATCTGAGGGGAAAGGGGAAAATAAGGCATAGCTGTCCTCGTATAGGTGTCCTCATATAGCAGTCCTGTGGGATGAGGTTGAAATAAAAGACGGAGAACATCACTGGAAAATACGAAAAGTTAAGGAATCAGCACATATGCTAGGCCGCAAAAACCAGCATAGAAATGAATACAATATGTGAACTGGTTATACGGAGTACTAGAGAAAAGTAATAATAACAACAAAAAATTCAATATGAGTTCTGATAAAGAAATGTAAACAGAGACATTAAGTTTATCAGTCCCCCAAATTCATGCACTGATGGCCACACATGACCCAGTGGATAAAAGCGTTGGTTGACTTAACATGGCTTGATTCAATACCGGACTACTGCAGTGGTGAACAATTAACAGTTTAATTAAAAAATACTTCGCGGAAAATTCTATGATGCCATCTCTGGCCTTAGGTCTCCGGCTGGAACGTGGAGAGAAATGAGTGTATACTGAAAATCAACGGAAATAAATGATAATAATAATCTCTTCATGAGCACTGCTTACATATATAGAAAGAAAGGAAATTTACTATAAATAACTTTCTACCAAAAACCTTCTTTTTACCTCAATTCTCTTAGTAAAAGATCGTATCAAAGCACAATGAAGGAAATAATATGTGAATGTCATTGTTCCAGCAACAAATTCATTTTAGGAACTTACTAGAAACAGAAATGTGTTGAATAAAATTTTTTTATAATTGTCTTTCTCAGCGAACTTGGAATAATTTTGTAAAATATCAAAGGGTTAGAATTTGAATTCCAAGGAGAACAGAAAACAACTCGACGAAAACATTAATACGATCAATATAAATAATGAAAATATAGTTGGGTAAGACGAGTTGCCACTTGATGTCTAGTGAGTTACTAGATATTTTTTCATAAAGGAACTCTACTATGACTGCACTAGTAGATATGTCCGTAGAAATAGTTCTACTTAAAAGCTTCAAAACAATTAGCTAAAGAACGAAAATAAAGAACATCAGAATCTACAAAAACAGAACAAAACTAAGAAGAAAAAAAAACTTGCAAGGATAATTTAGGACAGATGACGGCTATCAAGGAAATAATGCATGGATATTGTCATATAGAGGGCATTTGAAAAGAGATATTGATTTCATATCGTTGCAGCACAAAATAATTGTGCCAGAACCAGTTACGACAAGAAAAACCTAACAAACTAGGAAATCAAGAGAATTGTCTATATGAAGAGATGAAACCGTAAATCATAATATAGGAAGCGAGTCTAAGGTGAATATATAACCAGGACAGCCTGTGACGGTTTCGTGATACATCAGGTGTGGAACAGAATCATTGCTCAAAAACTGTTAGGAGCAGACGATAATGTAATTGAAAGAGAGAAAACATCAAGAGTAAAAGAAAAAAAAGCAGCAAAATATTAAATGGACAAATATAAAGAGAGGAGAGTGTCGTAGTAGGAATGATATCATGACAAAAGAAAACATGGCGGAAATCAAGAAGTTGAAGTAGAATTCAAAACACAGAAAGTGCCGACCAATCCCAATAAAATCTCACCAGACCCAGCTTCGAATACTCGGAAGAACCTTAATTAAAATCTCACCAGGCCCAGCTTCGAATACTCGGAAGAACCTTAATTAAATCTGATTCATTCATCAATTTATTTCAACATTTTACAAGAAGACAAATCTATTACAGAAACGTTTTTTACAATCATTTCTTTTGTTCTTGTACCTTTAATTTTCCCTTCTTTTCATTTTAATAAAATATTTACGTTTGAGGTTTTTATTTCTTACTTTTTTCTTATTTTGGCTTACACCCACATCACGTTAAAACACCAGTTCCCGTAAGATCAACGATGTTAAACAACGTCGAGTCTGGTCAGTATGTTGATGGGTGACCGCTTTGGAGTACCAGGTACTGTAAGCTTAGGTACACAGGTAGTGTAATAGATAATGGCTCGGAATTGTTAATCATAAAGCCAGGTTACAATTTCAGGTGAGTTTACGTGCAAAATCCTTAGAAAATGACTGATTCCAACACTTCTTCATCCAGCTAGGTGTTAATTAGTAAGACTAATATCAGTAAGTCATTATGATCTTAAAAACTTCTTACAAACTAGAAATATTTTCTGGCTTTAAATAACGTTCAAAACGAATCAATCAATTAATTTCTTCCTTTTTTCTTTCTTTCTGTATTAACATTTTTTACTTGTTTTTTAAATTTCATTTTCTTTTCTTTCATCCTATTTTTTATTTTTATCTCAGCGATTTTATCCTGTATTTTTACTTACTTCCATTTACTCTTTTTAAGTTATATATTAATTTTAATATCAATTTTTCTTTTTCTTCTATAATTCCTGTTTTCCTTTCTTTGTTTCTTCCTTTCTTTTTGTCGCCATCGCCTTTTATTCCGCTCTTCCATTTCCCTCGTCAATGAAAACGAGAAATAAGACCGCGTCATGAACCGACATTTCTTTCTTTTGATTCCTCTAAAAATACATATGAAAACAAGGAAACATTGCGTTTTTTTTCTTAATTAATTTGTGTTTAACGTGTTACATTCAATATTCAAGCAAAATAACTGCTTCGTTTCGCGGCATAAATTGAGCGGAAGAAAAATCATGAGAGTTCAAAGATTAAATAGAAAAGAATAATTAAAACGATTAGAGATTATGAGCTGATTTTAAGAACTTCAAAGCATTCAACGCTACTCAAAATTTATTCCAAATTCCTATTAAAGCAAAGGTTATAGACAAAATATCAGTAACAATAAAAAAATGTTCACACAGCAATCATAAAAATATAGGAAGACAAACCACAACAACAACAACAACAACAATAATAATAATAATAATAATAATAATTAGAAATATCACGGTTTTCTTATTTGAATTTTTCCCATGATTCTTAATTCTTAAGTTAATGATTGAATAAACACATGGCGACTTCTGTGAGAATAAAATATCCGTAGAAATTGCATTATCCATTCTTTAAGCATTTGAGCAAAACACCCTTAACTGTTACAATAACAATCATAAATATGAATGCTAGTTGTTATTTAAAGAAGTATGGGTGTACAAAAGAAAAGATTTAAAATTGACAGCTTTTTCCACTTTACTGAAACAGATGTTAAACAGTGTTATGAAGCTTTCTTTCATTCATTCATTATCTTACTGAAACCAAGGAACGTCTCTTAAATATCTTTTCTGTCTTTCCATGCCATCAAAACGCAATAACCCATTATTTATAAGGTTTTAACTAAGCAGTAATTATCTAATAATGATAATACAAAACTTGAAGAAAAGATAAATAAGAAAAACTGTATTTAAAGTTTTTTTAACAATATTTCCATAGTATGTTCGTCTTCTTCAAGTTATGTATAAAAATTGCATGCTAGTATAAAATATAAAAGAAAATACAAGTCTTTGTGTAAACGTCGCTTGTCGTGAGAAAAAACTGTTGTACTATTAATCAACGCGACAAAAGGAATGAAACGTTGCTACTGTGAATGGAATGCAACTAATACGTGCGTAACATGATGGAGTCGTTTTCACCTTGCAATACCCGTCTTTTTGTTCATTCCCGTGACATTAGTAATTTTCGTGTCTTGGTGCGTTTTTAGGGATCAAAGGTCGATAGATTTTAGATATTTTCTCGGATTTCCTTTGCTTTGTCGCGTACAACCGTTAACATTTTTAAACACTGTGTCTTTTTTCTTTTTCTTTTCTTAATTCGCACTCTTCTTTAAGTGCTTCAAAATATTGCAACAGGTGCATCAATCGTTTTATTTTATAATAATAATAATAATAATAATAATAATAATAATACTTGTGGCTTCAATGGGAAAGTGATTTGAAATGAATATCAGGCACAAGCAGTGGCAGAAAATTACACTCACAAGATAATACGGGATTCCTCAATCCAAGCAGATAATGGAATTGAAGCACGAAAACTAGACTTTATCATTATAGATAAAGAAAGTAGGAGGAGTCAAATTATTGTTTTTGCTATTCCATATGATGCAAAGTGTATACTCCAAAGAAACTGAAAAGATTGAAAAATACCAGGATGTGGCTAAGGTGCTGAAAATGAAAATGAAACCTGAATGTTAAAGTATTTTCTGTAATGTCTTTGGAACATCACCTTGAAACTTGAGAAACCACATATGGAAAGTTGGAATCGAGACTATGGTTCCTGGTACAAGAGTTCCATTTTTACCGGAAGTGGAGTAAACTTTTCACCACATTTGAGAGATGAGAGTGAGGCATCCGGTCCCGGAGATTCCGACCCTGCGGCGGCACCTTCCTTAAGGGAGGGCAATGATCGCCGGTACTGTGCAAATATTTTTACCCATAACCAATATGCCTACGTGTTTGTATTAGAGGTTCCCCACGTAAGACGGTCTTGTGTTACATACTGCCTTAATAGAGAGGCTAGATATAAATACCTGACAAAGCTCTGTCTGCGTTCGATGAGCAAGATTATGCGCTGCATTCTATGAAAAACCTGATCGCTATAGGTCGCATATTTGGCTGTGGTGCATGTGCCTCATATACCCTTATTAGACGTTGTTCATGATAAGTACATTGGGTTTCATATATTTGCGCACCAGCAAAATCTAATGTTCTCACTCTCTCAGTAATAATATTAACGACAATAGAAACAGTATGTCGATGGATTTAGTTTTTACGACTTTTTGAGCGTTTATGACTCTTACAATCACATAAAAAATGCTATCATATTTGTGGTTAGCTTAAAGCTGAAATATATATTAGATTGTAAAAATAATCTTTATTTTCGACTTAATATTGAACTGGCATTTTTTGAGAATAACAATGGTTTTCCAGATACAAGTCGTCCTATTTAACCCATAGTTACTATTCAATCCACATATTTTCCAAGGAAATTTCCACATTATGTAATGTAATGAAACCGACTGGAATTTGAACTCGGCTCTACGATTTCTCATTCCGAGCCGCTATCCATTAAATCATTCGCACATCCTATTGTAACTTAGGGAAGGTTACTGAATAGAATAATCACACGAAGGTTGGTAATGAACGATAGTACTTAAGACAAGGGCAACACATATAAGATTCGCTAGCGGCGCGTAGAAGTATGTCAACTGTTAGAAGTGAGTCAAGTGAACTCCACAATGAATCTCTAACTGAAGGATATCTACCAACCGCCCCACGCGGTCAGATGTGGCACAAGGTCGAATTTAAAGTGGGGTATCAGAGCCCATAAGCTAGGCCAAAATTTCCCCGTAGACTCCGTATAAAACGGGATCAGGTAATTGTTTTCCGAGACGAGACACTGGCCTTCGATATAACCTCGTCTGGGGATCCTCTCAGCTCGGAGACAGAGAGCTTGACCAGCACAGCGGGAGACGTATCTCCACTTGCAGACTAACATACAGTCTTTACTACTGTATTTATGTAAATGGGGACATACCCATTATCATCAGTAGGTATGCTACAACACATCCTTAACAGAAATAACATAATATCAACAACCTAATAACTCATAAATAATTATCCCTGAATTTTTAGCAATGAAGTCTATTAAAATTAAAAAAAAAAAACAAGTTGATATCTATTCGCAGGCTTTGTTCGTTTGTTGAAAGTAGTATTTACGGAATATACAAAAGAGATCAATGGATGTAGGGAAACGACAAAAAAACGCGGGAATATTAAAGGCAACGAGGAAAGAAAAATGAGAAGTAAAAGTCTGTGTAAAGAATTCTGAAAGGCAGATAGAAACTATCGGAGACGAATTGTCATGAACAGAGTGACGCTATAGACACTTATAAGTCGAGGACAACATCACAAGGCCAACTGATAGGAAAACATACGAAGGATCATAAAATACATAACAATTAACAAATGCAGGCTTTGCGAAGAAAATATAAATGAGATGTGAGGGTAAGCCACAAAAGGAAAGGAATAACAAAATAGGCTAGACAAACAATTGGTGTAAACGCCTTCACTTCGACTACCTAAATAAATGCTAGATACTAGTTTAGAACCTATCTATCTATCTATCTCGATATATATATATATAAAGGTGGTTTCGTTAAGACGGATTATATGTAAAGGTGTTTCATTAAGACGGATCAAAGTCAGCAGTAAATAAATCAGTGTTATTGGTGAAAATTTATTTAGTTCTCTATTGGATCATGTTATTTAAGTCATAGCAATTACACGCGGAAAATAATATCGCCCAAATGTCCTTCAAATCTGAAAGAAAAAGCAAAAAAACATTAAACGCTTAAACCTAATTCACATTTAAAATCGATCCAAAAATATCTCTCTCTCTCTGTATATATATATATATATATATATATATGAAGAAATATATTTTTAAGGTGTGTTATATTTATGGGACAAAGTATTCAATATCAGAGATAGAGCGTATGTAAATATAAATATAAAAGTGAACATTGAAGTCAACACTCAGAGACGGCACCCTGTTTTATGCTAGACGCAATGAAGCAGTATGTCGCCTCTGAGTGTTGACTTATATATATATATATATATATATATATATATATATATATATATATATATATATATATTTTTTATTTTACTTTAAAACAGTGTTTATTACGTGTATCGACCTGAATATTTAGGAATTGTTAATAAAGAGTATGTGCGGAAAATGAATCTTTGTAGACAAAAAACATCGTGTAGTATGGTGTGCTTTACCGCTCGGCTATGAAGAGCGTCACATGACAACAAAAACTGTACCTTCCCTTTTAAGGAAACCGCACTACAAGAATTTGTTATTTAAAAATTATTTCACCCCAACCAAATCAATAATGGCATCTGAATACAGGGTTTCCAAGGACTGAAGGCAAATGAAAAGACTTTAGTGAGGAGAAGTGACGAACGATCAATAAAAGAACAGTGTTCAGTAACACAGA